TTATTGAGAAATCTTGTTTAATATAAACAAATAAAAATGATTGTACCCTTACATCTTTCACCAAAACATATAAGATCTCTGAACTTTGTTTTACACTAAATGTATAAATTAATTTTTCTAAATATTTAACCAAATAATATATATCCTAAACAATGTACTTCACATGTAATGCATTTATATCTCTACTATGATATGTGTCAATAATTATTCATTAGTAGTTTTATAGATATTTTTAATAACACGATTATACTGTAATATTGACTTATTAATTTTAGATATTTGTATAATTATTTTCCTATCAGTATTTAACTATAAACTTCAGAAATGCCCAGAACTATGTATTTACAGATATTAATGTAAAATATAAATGATTTTATGATTTTTCAATTAATATCTATAAAAATTTAGTTTAATTACATCTCATTAAACATATTCAATTCATTTTTAGTAATAAAAAAATAAATATGACATGTACGTATTAATACATAAATACAGTTTGAGGTCCATGTTAATTATTCAACTTATCCCCTTCAGTAATACAGTTTATATAAACAATACTGATTTATAATTATTAACTAGTATTATTACATTTATATCCAATTACATTATAATACTGTAATAATGCTTAATTATATTTATTTATTTGTAGAATTTTACATAATATTTATTAACCTATCAGTACTTTACTAAAAACTATGTGTCCAGTACTATTTAATTATATATATTATATAGAAGATCATTGATTATATGGTACTTGACTTAATTTCTCTAAATGTTTTTATGTGAATACATCTAAATAAACATATCCTAGGAATTATAAGATTTAGATATTAAAAATATAGAAAAATAATGGTAAAGTGATGTGACACATAAATATATACAAGTTAAAGGCATTAAGAAATTATGAATGTATAAGTAACTTATTCACAACAAATCACAATGAATTGATTAAATATTTAAGGCAGATTAGCTATATTTATCAATTTGTATAACCCATTATTTAGGTTTTATGTATGAAAATAATGGAAAAAATTAATCCATTTAGATATCATTTAAAAAGTATGAGTATTGACCATTTTTAAAATAATTTGGTTTATTTAAATTGATATTATTAAGTTATTATTTAGAGATTTTCATAAAAAATTGTTTAATGGGTTTTATTGATTTGTAAATATTGTATTTGAATATTTACAATAATATGATTGTAATGTAATACTGTCTTACTTTATTTAGATATTTGTGTATTTCTAGGTAAAATTTATTTCTCTATCAGTTTTTAAACGTTATTTTATTGACCAGAACTACTACAGAAACCATTAGTTATTATTACTAAGAATATAGAAAAATGCTGATTATATTGTCCAATTCTTTATTATGTGTTATGTGTGTATATTTAAATATCGTGTTAATTTATCAGTTTTTTATTATATATTTAGTATCTATGAGTAATTATACCTAGAATATTTTTAAAATGTATATTCGAACTAAATATTCATAGCAATTAAGAAAATTATAATAAAATCATTTATCTTATATATAATTTCTATGACTAAATAGTTCTGGAAATTATGATTATAGTTAAATACAGGTAGAAAAACAAGTGTTGCTTATAATTACACAAATATAGAATAATAATAATAATAAGACAGTATTATAGTGTAATCAAAGTTTTGCAAGTAAATGTAATAATAATAGTTAATAAAATTTAAATAATATTGTTTAATTGGTTTAAAAGTATTATGTATTTATATAGTAAATTATTAATTTAATTTTAATTGAACATCTTCGCCCTTATAATAAATGTATAACTAAAACATGTACACGGTCATTCATTTTTATATGTTGAAATTAAACAAGATTTCTAAATTATATTAAAGTCGTTAAAATATATCTTTCATTTGTAAAAAGTATTGACATTTTTCCAAGTTTATAATTCATCTTAACTTTTTAAGTAATAGAATTAACATTATAATAAAAATCAATATTAAATTTTATTTTTAGGAAATATTGGGTAGGATTTGATAAGATAAGTATCAGTACAATTTGTTTTTTCTGAATATTTACAAATTCATAGAGCCCAATTAAAAATTGTTTTGAATATCTCACACTTATAACTTAATTATATCAATGTAAAATTGGTAAATTATCATATTTACTCTATATAGGACTATATATTATATATATCATATTACTCATATTTCTCAAATAGTCTCTAAATAGATTATCCTCTTTAGATAATTTTCTTACATAATTATTATATACCAACAGAAAGATATTAATAAATATAGATAATCTGCTTAAAATATTAAAAGTCCACCCAGTTATATTTGTTTTTAATAATATTTTTATACTATTTTACTTTCTTATTGTGTTTAATGTGTACATATTCATATGTTGTATCCATTCATTATTGTATTACCATACATATAATACTTATAAATAAAGATAACTAGAATATATTATATAAAAAGTATTCAAGCTACATATTTTAAAAATTAAGAAAATTGTACATAATTTCCATAAATAAATAGTGTNGAATTTCCGTTAAAATGCGGTGAACACTTGATTTTGAAATACCTGTTTCATTCTCTATCTCTCTCACCGTTATTCGTCGGTCTTCATCGAGTAGAGTTGCGAGAATAGCCGCGTTAGTGTTGTCTTGAGTAACCGTAGAGGGTCGGCCAGAGCGAGGGTTGTTATCAATACTTATACGACCATCACGGAATCGCTGATGCCATCTTTGCACCGTACTACGATCCACAGTATCCGTTCCACACACTTCATTTAACGCGGCATGAATTTCAGGCACTGTTTTACCACGAATCGTTTCGATTTTAATGTATGCGCGATGCTCAAAAACAGAAATGTGAGCCGACGAATTGTTCTCACTTTCGTTATCGCTCTCACACATCATCATACTTTACTAAAACAACTAAAACTGAAAACGCACGTGTTCGTTAGACTTCAAGCTACAAACTGATACTAAAATCAGTTGATAACATCACATTGCAAGACAGCTAGAGCGCGCTGTGCATTACTTTTGGGACAACCCTCGTATTTACAATTTAAGTTGATATTGTTAAATTATAATTTCATTAAAAATTGATTTTGAATAAATCTCATAAAACATAACCTTTTTATAATATCTAAATGTATAGAAAAATACTGATACACATAATTAATAATTAGTTAGTCATTAATTATAAGTTAAATAATAAATATTTAAAAACAATACTAATCAAAGATAAGCAAGGTACAAACCACAAATTCCGTTCAAACCGATCAAACAAGGATTATAGATGAAATTCAATTCCATGCCACCAACAAAACGTACAATGACATAATTCAAATCACACCCAAGTAACAAACCAATAAAAACATATTGGTACAATGTGGCGCATGAGGAAAGTCTCTCACGCCAATCATATCAATAATAAGGGACAACAATTACAAATAATCGCAATCACTTTATGTAAAAAAAATAATGTATAAAAATAATGTTTACTTCAATTTTATTAAATATGTAAAAATAATGTTAACTAACGTAAAACATATTTAACTAATAACTATTATGTATTACAACTAAGTACGCTCATTTCCGCTGTTATTTTTTGATTTATATAATAAC